AATGCTGGAGAAGAATTTGAGGGACAAATTGCTAAGACATTGAAAATCTACCTACATGTACCCTTTTCATGAAACTTCATGAAATTCACCCCAGAGATCACTTGGAAGGATCTGAATATCTTTGTGTCCTTGGCTTACATTTAAAATAGTCACTTAGCACATGAGATGCAGAAGGAAATCCTTGTAAAACACTGATGGAAAAGATTTCTTCCTTACTGGAATCCCAGGTATGGGAGCAAAACACTTTAGAAGTTCTCAGATACCCTCTACTACCAGTTTGAAAGAAGCCAACTTATGCACCTAGGTATTAATCTATTGAAGCTTCAGTTAAAAAATGAAAACAAAAATTTTAATTCTAAATTCTACCCATTCTACTTGCAGGAATTTTATCAACCAGAATAAAGGGAAGGCTTAACAGAATTCTAAAAAGAGAAAGAGGCTACTGAAAGTGGCAAGTCAGGTTTCTTGGTTTCCTACCCCCTGCCCTCCCCCCCCGCCCGGGGTCCACAGGACATGAACAAATTAACTTCACCTCATGATGAACAGGTTCCTGTCTGCAAATACATCCTTTTAGCTTCCTCTGGAGAAGGAAGCTCTTTATCAGTGTCTGGAACAGCAGGAGCATAAATCAACTACAAACACAGAGACATCCTGCAGCTGCTAGTCCAGCTTCGCCTTGGAATTCACCTAGCTTTGTAAGAACTAGGTGCATTCTCAGCAGGGGAAAACAAAAATCTGTCTCAGTCCAGGCAGGAGTAAAACAGGGGAGGTAAACTTGGTCCACTTCAAAGCACAAGGCATAGCTTTCACTGACTAAATAGCAATCCCAGCAGGAGTGACAATGAAAGCTTTCTTCTCTATTATTATCTGAAACAACCATAGGTTATTTGTTCATATTAATTAGTTTATAGCTCGAATTAGGCAGCCTTAACTAGAAAATGCTCTTTGTTACCAAATGAATAGAGAAACAAACAAAACCAAAAGCTTCTTATTTAATTGTTGGTTTTGCCCTGGAGAAGGGTTTTCAGGTCTTGCAAACTTGAAAGTGAGTTTATCTGTACACCTAGGCCCCTGACTTCACTTCCAGAGCATGGAAATCAATCCTAGGCTAACTTGATTGAGTGAGCAATTCATTGTGCTCAGGAGATGCTGCATTTACATACTTTTAACCTGCTGTGAACTTGGAGGAAAGTGCTAATAAGAGAAAAGAGGCTTGGCAACAAGAGCAAGCCAGTCTTGGACTAAAATTTGACTGTACAAACTACATGGAAGAGTTAACATATAATTAGGAGACCCATCATCCACCAGAGGATGCTGAAACCAAATGCAATGGTCTCTGCTACGGTTTATATCTAGATGTCCCCCCCACCCAAAGCCTCATGTGCTCACATACAGGGCTTTAGGGAAGTGACTGGAGCATCACAGGGGCAGCCCACAGGGATGGCTTTATGGCTGGTTGTGATGTTGGGAGGTGAAGCCTGGGAGAAAGAAGTGGGTCACTGAGGGTGAGGCCTGGAGATTATATATCCTTCCTAATCCCTTGATCCCTCTCTGCTTCCAGGCTGTCATGCTATGAGCTGCGTGCCTCTGTCATGCCCCTCTGCCATAAACCTGCCTTGGAAACAACTAACTTTGCACTCTACAAACTGTGAGCCAAAGTAACCTTCTCCTGCTTTAAGTTGTGGCTGCTGGGTACTGTGTCTTAGTGATGAGGAAGTATCTAAGACAGTCTTCATCTCTCCTGAAGAGTAAGGCACCTCTCCTTATGACCTAATACCCCAGCTCATAGCTGACTTCTTCCAGAAGGGTGTATTTCCCCAACTACTAGAGGCTACCGTTACTCCCAGGGTGAGAAAAGACTCAACCACCCAGTTGACATTTTAACACAGGACTTGCTCAACAGAATCCTCAGGAGCCTGGTGTCTACTGAAGGGTTGATACTACACAAAATGCTTGCACCCAGAGCTAAGACTCCAAAGCCTGGATAACAATTAAACTACACAGGCATCTGTAAGATCTATATGACATTCCTTAGGATGCTTTACAAGTCCTGCAAAACCTTCAGCTTTATAACCTAGCTCATCTGTGCTGATGCTTAGCATTTGCCTATTTTTGAAGCACAAATATTCCACCACAATGGATCTCAAGCTACCAGCATGAAGTCAACTACTCACAAAATGCTTGAAAATTTAACAATTGGCCCTTATGAACTGCTGGAGGTGGCTCAAAGGACATGGATGTTTACAAGCACATGTCCCACTATACCATGACCATCCTGAACTATATTCTAACTGCTGCACTCTCTTTCACCACAGGACATTTGCACCTCACACACCCCTTTCTTCTCCCTTGCCAAAATAACTCATACTCTTTCATTAGTCACCAGTCGGTGGTCTTCCTTCAAAAAACCTTTCCTGGTCCTCCCACTATTTTCTGGGGGTTCCAATTTGCTCCTAGGACAGTCCCATTTTCTGTGTCATACTTCTGTGATATACCACTATAATTTTTGTGCCCTTATGTGTATATCTTCCATAAACTCAGGGAGGGCAAAAGCCTTCTTTATCTTACTTATCACAACACTTGCTGATATAAGTGGGCAATATACACCAGACACTATCCTAAGTTTTGCACATGCTTTTTCATGTCATCTTTCAAACAACCTGAGACTGTCCTCATTGTTGTCTTGTTCATTTTGCAGGTGAGGAAAGTAAGGCACTGAGAGCGTGATCCTAAGGCGTGGCCAGGATTTAACTCAGGCAGTGTGACTAGCGGGGCCACATGCATGCTTCAGGAAACAACTGTTTGTTGACCTTTCTTTTTTCCATTAGTGGCCCTCGAGGAGAAAAAAGTAATTAAATTTAAATTCTCCATAATAGAGAAATTAAATGCTAATATTTTGTTAGGTAAACCTAAGCTTTGGGAGGGATTTTTTTCACCTCTCAAGATCCCGTTCTAGACCCCTGAGGGCAATGTCATTCTATTGAAAATGTGCTGGGCCGTCACTATGCATTTCCACTTGTCTATCCCTAAAGACACACAGGCATGGTTTATACTTTTAATGACATCTTCCTATAAGGATTATCTTGCATTTTGCTCTTATTTCCCTCTATAAGATAACTTCAGGTAGTACAGCTGTGTTGTTAGGCTCATTTTAGCTGTTATATGGTATTTCAATCATATCCACATGCCTGAATTTTTTACTATGCCCTTGCGCTATTAGATATTCAGCAAGTTTTGTACCTCTTGGTCTTTAAGCAGTGCTTCAATGAATATTTTTACACACTCTTCTTTGGCCTCCTATGTGAGTGCTTTTCAAACACAGATACCAAGATTGGAACAGAGTATGTGCTAAGGTGCACGACTTCAATAGATACTATCAAATTATCACTTTACCCCCAGGCGGCTGTACCACAGAAATGTATGAGGGTACACATTTTCCCAAGTATTTACATGACTAGGATGGTATTTTAACTAAACAAGTCATTTGAAAGTATTATATTATATTCTTCGTAGATTACATAATAGGGAAGATGTGCACAAAAAAATGATGCTTCTGGAATGCTGGCAAATGACAGTGTTGCTGGATATTGAAATGCCTTGTCCAGAAAACCTATGCTGCAGTCTAACTCACTTTGCACAAGCCTAGGAAGAAATGCCTGCGAACAGCTGCACCTGACTTTCAGATGGTGACCTCAAGTAACAGGCACTGAATTCTCTTTACCTGTTCTCCAAGTCTTTCAGGAACCAAAACACACACATACACAACCCCCCCCCCACACACACACACACCTATTGAAGGTAAAGGAAAGCAAACACCCAAAGTAAAGTGAGGGTAATGATCCATTTACCAGAAAGAGGAAAAAATGCATCTTGGGGTGATGAGGGTAACACTGAGCATTCTGGAAAATAATGGTAAAAAACACTGCAGCACAGGAAGGACTTCACCCATAAAATGAAATCTGTAATTCTTTTAGAGGGGAGGAGGGGAATTCACAGTAAATTAAGTATAAATGCCCCTTTCCCTCTTCCCTCTCTTTTCTCACTCTTTCTTTTAAAAACACAGACACCCTCAATTGAAATGCAAAAAAATATATAATGGCCTGCAAAAATGATCCAGAAAAAAAGGCATTCTATATCATCAAGATTCCAATTTAAATTAATACAGCTCTTTCTCTTTTCTTTAACTTTAGCTTAAAATGACTGCCACAAATGAGATACCATGCTCCAAAAAGAAGAGGAGAGGTGGAGAAAGAGCACATGGGAAACTGTACCTTTTGAGTCATTTACTCCGTATAACCATCATGTGAAGTACAAGCACATGGGGAGAAATTAACCCCGACAACAACCAGCATGAGTCAGGCTTTTTACCCAGCATTCCAAGGTGCAGGGCCTAGTGATTCCAAAGCCTGTTTCCTCCATTGCACCATATGCCTGCTGACTCTAAAGGGACCACTGAACACCCAGCGGGTGGTACAATAATCTGAACAAATGCAACATCCCTGCAGTATTACTGTTCTTAAGTAGACAGAAAACATTCATCCTAGGACTAGCATTCAGAAGTTTACAGAATTGCATTTTGTCTTCAAAGTTCTTAGAAAAGATCAAGGCAAAATAATAATTATAGGAGGAAGATAACAGGGCAAGGAATGGAAAGTTTGTTATAAGATTAGATCCTTTCTGAGATATTTCTTTAAAAAATCTAAGAAAGGAAAAGCAGCAGAATTTGCCACCGATTTATCTTAATTTGGAGTCTGATGTATCCTAAAGGCTCAAAACTGAGGTCCCCTGGGAACAGAGGCTAGGTCACTGAAATCACTTGTTCGCTGTCTCAGCTGCTTCCTGATAATGGTGCCCGGAAAAGCACCATTATCTAAATGCACACCAAATGCTAATAAGAGAGATCTACATGATCCCTAGAGTAAAACGTGTTTTCTAAAATCCAACTTAAATATTTGACAAAATTATGATTCTCCTAAACCTATGCTGGTTGAGTCATTTACCTGGGGCTGTGAAATGACAGGGGTCGCAGTAGACGCAGTAGCCATGACAGCCGTATAGTTGTGAGCAGTGATCAGACCCCAGAATTACAGTGCCAGACACAGGAGCCAATTCTTGTGGCTGCTCATCAAATCACAGTCATGCTAGAAGAAGCTGTGTACCTGGAAGAGGAAAGGAATACCCACAGTTAGTATAAAAGGACCAGAATATAAGAGTAAAAGAGCATTGGCCAGAGTAAATGAAAAGATTTTATACCAAGTACAAAATATTAGCTTAATGACAATAGGAACCCACAGGGAAGATCTAACACCTAAAAGCTATGACTTCTGTATCATTTTCCCAAATGATGGCAAGTGGGTATATTTTCTAAGTGTAAACTCAACTCTGGGTGCCAGCTAGATGTTCTGGAGAGGCAGTTTCAAGTCAAGGAGCAAGGGAAGGTGAACAAGAGGAAAAGCCATCTTGTCATTAAATAATAAGAAAAGAAAAAAATGAGTGATCTACATATGACAGAGTTTGAGGCAGACTTTATTAACTCATTTCACAAGAGTTAAAAAGATTAGACAACATATCACAGCCAAGAAGAGACAAAACTGAGACCCAAACCAAGACTGATCCCAAGGATCAGTCTCCTTCTCTCCAAGAAAAGAGATATAAACAGCATGAAGTGTTTTTAAGCCAAAAATTCAAGCAGTCCTAAAGACAGCAGGATAGAATTCAGGTGGCCTGTGACACAGAACCCTGGGTTTCCCTCACCAATATAAAACTTGAATGATGTGCCTCTTATTTTGATATATGTTTCATATCTTTGAGATACCTAATCAAGACAGATTTTCAATTTTATATTTTGAGGGAAAGATAAGAGAGAAAACTGTTTCACCATAGGGCATTTGGGATATATTTAGTTTTGAGACTTTTATTGAACCTCTTTACATATTACAAGTACCCTTCATAAAATAGTGCACAGTTACTTAATTTTGCAAAAACAAGGAGGAAAACACATTAATCTAAAGGTAGAAATCAGAATACTTGGGAGTGATGTCTCAATATTACATCTAAGAAGCCTGTTTAGCCAGGCATGGTGGTGCACGCCTGCAACCCCAGAGCTTCAAAGGCTGAGGTGGGAGGATCATTGTGAGTTCGAGACCAGCCTGGGCTACAGAGTGAGTTCAAGGCCAGCCTGAACCCTGTCTCAAAAAGACCAAAAAAAAAAAAAGCCCATTTACTTCTCAACTTATTTAAAAAATTGCATAAATCATGGGAGAATTAGACAAGATGACAAAAAGACAATGCCCTAAGTCATAAAGCCCATTCGCTTTCTAGCAGTGTTGGTACACTTTGACATGCTAGTCCTCTGCTTTCCCAGAGTCCCAGAGGGTCAACCACAGTGTTGCCCAAGAACTTTGAAAGAAAGACACATTTTTATGAACTCTTCCCAGTACTTGATATCTTTCCTGTAATTCTTCCAAACTGCCATCAGCCTAACTCTACATTTCCTTTGCCAGAACTCCAAAATTATCCCAGCCATAGAAAACCAAACTAGTGTGGGTATACCTCACTGACATCAGGTTCTCCAGCTGCCTTTGGGTCATGATTATTGCCCCTTCCCTTTCATTCTCCTCAGCATCTCCTGTTATCTACAGCATCTTCCCAAACCATAAAAGTACCTCTAGCACTTCTCATATGCGTGAGTTTTTCACCTATTTATTCACTGAACCATTCATGCATTCACCTATAGTCACTAGGCTGAATTACCTCATCATCTTTCCCCTATAATTCAAGTCATATATACAAAAGACAGACATAAAAATTCATAAAACTAGAAAGTAGAAAAGGGGCTACTGGGGGCTGGGAGGAGGAAGTAATGGGTTGTTACTGTTTCCAAGTGGTAGAGGTTGAGTTTGGGCTGATGGAAAAGTTCTGGAGATGGATACTTGTGACAGCAGCACAACACTGTGGGTGTAGTTAGTGCTGCTGAAATGCATACTTAAAAATCGATAAAGCAGTACCTCTCCGTATGTACATTTTATCACAAGAAGTGGTAAAAGAAAAGGTCATGAAAATAAGGAATGATGAAAACTAATATAAAAAGCATAGTCTAAAATTATATGTAGACTATCATTAAAAGATCAGAAAAATGTATAAAATGGGAGAGCCAAGATTCACAGGCAACTAAAAGTACACTTTGAGAGGGATTGGGGATGTAGTTCAGAGGTAGACCATTTGCCCCACTTGTGGAAGCTCTCAGTTCAAATCTCATCACCACAGGAGGAAAAAAGTACAATTTTAGAAAAAACACAATTCCCAAAAAAGAAAGCTATATAGGTTCATTCCTCTTTCCAAGATTACTGGAGAAATGATCGGTTGGGTTTCAACAAAGGAAATATCCCAAATTGGTTCTAGAAATTACAAATTGATCCCACTGCTGCTAAAATTTCCAGAAACTGTACTGGAAAAACATCAAGATGGGAGGTTAAAAAAGAGACTAAAGCACACCACTCTCTTCATGAGACACTGCAACTGAATGTACAGAAAATAAGCAAATGGGGAGCCAACAGGCTTGGAGTGATGCCCTCATTTCAAAGGGATGAGGGCTGGAGGGAACTAAGCCAGGGGAGAGCTGGGTACCTTTAAAATACACTAACTCTTTTAAGGGGTTTCTGGCTCCAGAAGCAAACCAAGTAAGTCATCTCTGGCTTCATTTACTCCTGACTTACATATGGCCATGAAGAAGGCTTCAGCAAACATAAAAAAATGCTACTCGCTGGCTTCTGAGGAGGGCAGCCATGCCAAGTGACAGTAACTTTGCTAATTACTGAGAGCCACACCAAATACCTAAAGGCAAGTCAGGTTTGAAGCAAATTTCCATGTGATTACTTCTGGAGTAGATGTTGGCTCCCTCCCCAGGCCTCACAGAAAGATGAATTTCTAATCGGTAAGTGAATCTACTACAAACGTAGCCTTTTTCCTTCTTCACTCTTCTGGACTTCAGTCAAGCAGTGACTCATACAAATTTCCTGAAAAAACATAGGGCAATACCTGATACTGAACATGCAAAAGATTCCATCTCCAAGAATAAACAAGAGAGAAACATCCAAATCTACCAGGCCAATAAAACATATTATTATATTTCAAAATAAGGGAAGACTTGAGAATCAGAGCAAATATTTATTTAAGAAATAAGTGCACGCCTTAAAAGAGAAAACTTCAGAAAATTTCTAGTTCATGTTCTTAAAATTTCCTGGGACACGGCAGCATCTTTGAATGGAGGATGGGTGGGCATGAAAAGAATTATGTGAGATCAGAAAAGAATTTTCATTAACCAGTGTTGATGGTGTTTCTGTCCTCCTTTAATAATTTTTGTTCATCTATTCTGTTTGTGGGTTGGAGGCTTTAAAATCTATACCCATGTAACTTTTTCCATCTATAATCTCTTACTTTGTCTCTGGCTTCATTAATTTTATTTTCTGCTTTATTGATGGCCTTCATTCAAGTTTGAAATGTGATGCCAACAAAGATTAAATTTATACTGTAAGTTTTAGAAAACTGCTATACAGCTTCACAACATAAGTCAAATAGGGAAATTTTCAGCTTAAAATTTGTGTCATTCTCCATATATCTAGACGGTATGGCAGGAACCACGTCGAAATAACCCTAGAGCCCAAATCTGGAAGATCAAGATGAGATACAGGCAAGCCAGAATCATAGCTTGTTTTTCTTAGTACCTGTCATCCTACCAAAACAAAATAACGTCTAACAAAAGTCTTATATCATGTAAGGTGGGAGGAAGATTTTCTCCCTGGAATTTGAACAAGTGAAGACTTAACAACAGGAATATCAACAAAAAGATTCATTGTTCATTGAAACAAAACCAGGATACTTAAAAACCAGAAAAATTTAGCAGTACTAGAATATAACTTAAGAAAACTGTCCAAAATATAAAGCAAAAATAAAGTAAAGGAAAATAGAAGAGGTCTGGGAAGCGTAAGAGACAAATAATTCCAGAAGGAAGAAATAAAGGAAACAGAGGGGAGAAAAATATCAAATACTTCAAAACATTTCCTAAAGTAGAAGTGTTTATAGAGTGTAGGGCCCCTGTGAGTACCTACTGGGCCATCTCAATGGATATTAATATGACTACTTAAGGATATATTCCATCCCTGTGAGTTTTTGTTTTTCACTCAGGGGATTAAAACAAAATCTGTAAGATAGCAAAAAGGGGATAGAATGGGTCATCAGCAAAGGACTGGAAATCAAAGTCTTTGGACTTATCAAGGGCAACTCTAAAAGCTAGAGGACAACGGACCAACAATGAAGAAAATAATTTATAACCAAGACTTCTACTGGAGGATGTTCTTCTGCAAAACAGGGAGAAAGATAAGAAAAAGGAAGGCATGTGATACAGGAAACAGGATTACAGCACTGAAGAAAAACAAAAGGAATTCCTGGCGTAACTGCAAAGGGAGAGCCCCGCAGGACGGGCAAGAAGACTTCGCAGGTCACACTGACAGAAGAACTGTCCCTCTGGATGTACTGAGAACAGGTTTCTGGATTGAGTTTGGGACTGAATAAGTAACAAACACACAGAAAACTAAACAAATATTAAAGGAATGGTTAATTTAACAGCAAACAAAACATTGTCAGAAGAGCAAAAGGATTCAAAAAACTCTTCAAAACATAGCTCAGGTATAATCGGTATGGACAAACTCATCGTTAGAGTAATAAGGAATACTGGATGAAGTGATGTCATGACCTAACTCCGTCAGGACAGTGAGGCCCAGCACAGGGGGAGAGACGATGTCGCATTCTTCCCCATAGGAAATGTATACATATTTGCAACTCATAAATCAAAAATTAGAAATAAAAGTCTTGGAATTTCACAGTGTATACGTATTTCAGAACAACATGTTGTGTGTAAATTTTTTAATTAAAAATCTGAGAGACAATGCACACATCAAGGGTGGCCACTGAAACGAGTGACAATGGGAAGCTAGTGAAGGCAAAATACGAAAGAAATAGGGACTCTTTTCTTAACAAGCTTCATGGGGCTACTTGATGGATTAAATTATAAATGTTTATAACTTGGGTGAAAAAATTACAAAGAGTATCACTGCTGAAGCTAAAACTTTAAAACTACAAAAGGCAGATGTACAACTGTGAA